CACAAGTGTTACTGTTCTCTAAACTCTGCAGGCTCAGTAACGAGCTGTCACACATGGGACTTACGTGTCAGACTCTGTGGTGTGTGTGTGTGTGTGTGTGTGTGTGTGTGTGTGTGTGTGTGTGTGTGTGTGTTTGTGCGTGTGTTTGTCAAGTATTATCATACAGGATTATGTCCTTGACTCAGGTAAAGTTTCACCAACACGACTCACCGACTTCGGTGCGTCGCACTGCTTCGGTCTGTCGGCTCGCCGTGCGCCCCAGGGTGCCGCAGAGTGCAGCAGCGCGCTGAGGAGCACCCAGCTGAGTCCCGGCACACAGACCATCGCGTCGAGGTGACTGGACTCTTGTGACAGCCAAGCTCCCACCACACTTTGACTTCTGTCCTGTCTGCTCTCCTTTAACTCTCCTGTACTCGTCCCCTTGTAAATAAAAAAATAAAAAAATGTCACCGGTGGCCTCTGGGCTCACATGTGCGGCTCGACTGGAGGACCATTCCGCCTCTGAGCCATTCCCGACGCTGCCCTTCAACTTCTCGGCTTAGAATAAGTGTCTCTGGAGCGTTTCCCGTCTCCTCTCGGTCCCGAAGCAGGAGTTGAAAACTCTTTGGAGAGTTTTGCTCGGTGCGCTCCGCAAGTTTGGAGCGTCATTGACTGTGGGAGAGAGAGAGAGAGAGAGTGAGAGAGTGAGAGAGAGAGAGGTGGGACGACTGGTGTGTAGCCCCCTACCCCTCCACCTCCTAAGCCCCAACAAACACACACACACACACACACACACACACACACACACACACACAGCCTTGCTTCTTTTAATAAGAGGAGGGGGCAGAGTTCAGAGAGGTATGACTCTTTCAAAAGAAAGTGAAGTTCCACAAGAAAGAGCTAAAACAGCGCAGAGTGGTGACTGAACGATTCTTTAAAAAGTTCTTACAACCTCTTTTTGGACGTTTCCTCATTCTGCATAAACCCTCTGACTACCCTGCCTGTGACATCAGTAGAATATGAGGCCAACAGTAGTCTGGAGGTTAATGTCTGTCATGATGATGATGATGATGATGATGATGATGATGATGATGATAACATTATATTATTCAGTCAGGGTCCAAAAAAACACAATGTAGATTAAAATGCATGTAAAAGCACAAGATAAAATGAGATAAGATAAGATGAGATTAGTTGAGATAAGATAAGATGTACCTTTTTTGATCTTCCATAGAATTCATAATTGACACAGCAGCACAAGGAAGTATAGCGCAAAGCAAAAATGTAGTAAGAATTTAAAAAAGCAATACTGTAAAGAATAAAAACATATAGAGAAATAGGGAAACACCTTTATGTTTATCATATATAAATAAATATCAATGCAAAAAGTAATGTCAAAAATGCATTTCTGAGTCGTGGTGCGTGTGTGATCAAAAATGTGCTGTATGTTGTTCTTTATTTTAAGAACTATGTCATCAGCAGTGCAGGGCCTGGAGGGCAGGTGGCTTTACACAGCTCCGGCAGGTCAGAAGTTTGTTTTCTTTGAATTTCATCAGACTCATTCCAGAGATGTAAATGAACAATTTTTCAAATGTTGTCATGTGCTTCCTCTTCAGCAGGGTTCCATCCATCTCTGTCCTTCTGTTTTGACAGCCCGCGCAGCACCAGGGTACAGTGTGTGAGCGCACGCTGCGGCACAGAGCTTCAGACATTTAGGTGCATGATTTATGGCCACAAATAAACAAGTCTGAGTAAAGACAACTGTGAGAGGTGTTTTATTTATTTTCCGCCTGGTGTTCGTCCAGAGACATATTAGTCATGAGCAGGGAGATGTGAAACAAACGCTCCACGATGAAAGAAAGTGTCCCCCTCTCTGTGGAGGACAGAAATGTCAACGCTTCACATATTTGCCTATGACCTCAGTTATTGTCCAAGTGGCAGACAGTGTGACAGAGTCAAGTAGTAGGAAATCTATCACAGAGACCCCTCAAACAAGGGGGGGCCCCTCCCTGCAGGCCGGAGGCAGATGGACGCTGACACAAGCAGCTCTTTGTCCTCAGGCCATGTTCCCCACTCCTCTCCACTCCTCTTCTCACCACTCTGTGCTCACTTCTGTTACTGTGCAGCTCTGTTAGCCGCCGACTGTCCCTGTGCCCTCATCGTACTTTCCATTCAGATTGAGGCAGATTGTGCCGAGCGTCTTTGATCAGCTTGTGTTTCAACACGGCTTCACGTTGTAAAACTCGGACACCTCTGCCCTCTGACCCTTGACTCTGACTACTTTTACTGGGTGCCATTCATCAAGATTTGATCATCTGAAAGGCTGAAAAGTCAGTATGTCTTGGATTTATGCATCTGCACAAGAAAGCATTTAGATTTGTAAAGGCAGTGTGTAAAGGAATGGAACCATGTTGATCTAATCTAATCTTTTTTTTATCCTTGCTGCCCTGTTTCTCCCCTTTGTGGCTTCTCGCTCTGAGACGGGATTTCAGTTAGTGGTTTTTGCTCCGCTCTAATTTGGCCACCTGTGGACTCTAGGTACCTGCTCTCTAACCACACCTTGCAGAGGGCCTTCTCTTTGAAGGAGCTTTTCCACATTCTTGGCCGTGCAAAAAGCGCCGGCTTATGAGCGGCTGACTGCAGGAGATTCCTGGACAGGAGCCAGCGCTTACAGCATATAGCCTAGCTGGGGACGAGAGGAGACTTTAAAGTTAATGTTCTGTGAGGAGGCCACAGAAACGCACACATCTGGGGAGGCGTTAGAGAGAAAGAAGGAGAAGGAGGGAGACTAGAGGAGGCCGATTGAGGAAAAAAAGGTATTTCTCAGCTGTTAAATTAAGTATATCTGCAGAAAAATCAATGCTTTCCCCCACTTTTATTGACTTTGCATATTTCCTCTTGAATGTGTCCTTTATATACAGTGTGCACCCCATGTGGACACACCGACAGAAAGCTCACAGGCAGGGAGGGAGAGAGCGAAGAGACCTCATTAATGTCTGTGGCCCTGCAGCTCTATGAGGATCCTGTGAGTACTTGTCCTCTTGGCTCCACGGCTGCTCGTCTGTCTGACGTTGTGCAGAAGTCCTGCCACAAAACCCCAACACTAACCCCCCCGACATCATTACTTGTGTATTGGTCTGTAATGACAGAGCCACTTCTATTACAACTGCTACCACTGCTCCTGCCTCACCACACGAAAGAGGAAATACTCTCATCCACTGAGCAGAGGATGAAGCGGTCATTGGGGCTGCTGATACAAAATATGTGCATTTTGTTTGTTATGCACACAGGGACCCCTAGTGGTGTGAAGAAGAATAGAGCTCATGCACAGTGTGGACTAAAGAAAAGAGATGGTTGACCTGAGGGCAGACAGACGGTGCTTCAAAGAAAATGTGTTTGATGGATATGAAGGAGCGGCTCTTAGCTTCAGGCAGCCATACTTCTCAGACAGACTGACTGACACAGCGACTGCAAAGGCCACACTGAAGGCTCTCCCTCTCTGTCTGTCTGCTGTCTCTGCTCTCAGCTGGACTACACATACACACTCCCTCCACTATCTCCACCCGTCTCTTGCACAGGCTCCAATATCCTCTGTCCCGCTTTGAAGATATTGAGGAATAATATTGACTGAGTCTCTGGTGAAATGTTATTGCGGTTTCCCTTTCCGGATGTCCTGGGAAAGGAGGTAAAAAGGAAAGTATGGGAAGTGGTGGAGGAAAGGGGGAATAATGTTGAGGTGGACTATGTCAAAAGAACGCCAGGAGGGGGTCCAGGGTGAATCCCGGTAACATACGACTGCTGGAGATGAGACTGGGAACTTCATCTGGTGTTTGTGGAACATGCACGAAGTGATTTAGATGGTGTCCACTGACAACACATCTGCATTAAGTTGTTTTCTCCACCATGTCCGCAGTGACTTCCCCCCTGTGGCGTGTCAACACATGCAGTGGATGGCAGTCCGTCTATCTTCCTCTCCAGACTGAGCAAAAGCAGGTGGTGGTGAAGATTAGAGGAAGAGATATGGTGACAGGGATCACAGTCAGAGCTGTTTTTCTGGAAACAGGGTGTTGAACAGTTTTTTATCTGTCACTGTTCCTGAGTGAAGTCAGGAGAGACGTATATGAATCTGAAGTGATAATTATTTACAGGAAGAGATGAAGGTTGAGTCATGTCAGAGGCAATTGATCAATTTAAGTATGGACATTTGAAATGATTGATGAATTGAAAGGTTATGTTATGTTAGTGCCAACGTTATCAACAAATTATCTCAAGGCAGTTTACAGCATAAGGCCGAGACCTAGCAAAATTATAAAGAAAAAAATAATTTCATAATATTGTGCAGGTAGAGGAAGGCTGTCCTTCATCCTCAGGGATACTGAGGTCAAAATAATGCCATCCAACATTATACACACTATACAAACAGATAATGTTTATGTAAGATTTTAGGTACAAGTATAATAACTTAAATTTAAATCTTTATATAAAGCATTGTTGTTTGTTTGCTGTCAAACAGGAGCAGGTGTTGTTTCTGAAGAATTTCTATTTTATTGTCATTATATTTGAAGACATCAGGTCCTCAGTGTGTATTACATACATGACAAATCTATTATACGTATGCAATGTCAATCACACTGTCAATGATCTGTCAATAAAGGACTAGAGCATTTTATAGCCATAGATACATCGATGTCAAATTAAAGGAATATTTTGGAAAACACTATCTTTGTTAACATTCCCATTAATAAAACACCTGAGGACGACTTTCCATTTAAAGAAATAGTCTGGCATATACAGTGCAGTTATGGACATCGTTGACATGTCTCCTGTCTTCAGATTTTGCAAAAGTTCTGATAATAATTTTTGTTTTTGCTCTTTTTTACACAAATGCACACAGTTACTGATCTTCTTCACAGAGAGACGTGTCCTGTATTTGTTTTTTTAGAGCCTCTAATGCTCTCACATCAAAGGCTTGGCCGGCACACTCATCCCATGATGCACCATGCTCTCTCTTACTGCATTGTGAGTAATTGTATTATCCGTAGCGGGAGGAAACCCCCTTCCCACCTGCTATCTTCTCTCTCATTCTGCCCCATTTACCCCTGAGAGGCGAAGCAGGAGAGGTGGAGGAGTGAAAAGGCTCTTCCTGCTGTTAAGTACATCATCTGCCTTTTGGCCATGCGAATGATATAAAAATAAGATATGGAGGAATAATGATGTTTCCCCTCTTGTCATCTCCACCACCACAGTGGCACTGCGGTCAATCTCAGCACTGGACAATAGACGTATTCAGATTTCCATAGTATTAATATTTGAAAATACTGCATATATAGTGTAAACACCCACACACACCCACACGTATGCACATATGATACTGTTGATGTGCATTGTCAATATTCTGTTTGTGGTTTATCCATAAAGGGGTTCAACAGAGGCTCCCAGAGCCAAATAAGGTCTTTTATGCTGACTGGGGAACGCAGCATAAACAGCATGTGTTATGATACCATTAAATCAAATCCTCTGGTCTGCACTGGTGTGCAGGAACCAAACATGAGTTCCAGCCTGAAGGATCAGATGAGCTCCTCTTTAAGTCGACAAAAATCTGGATTTAGACTTGACCTTCTTTTGAAGACGGTCATCTGCTCTAATGAGGTTCTTTGAAGATTATCTTATTGTCCAAGGGGCTTTTATGCCACATGTATAGTAAATTCATGACATCAAAGCTGGCCTTGGTAAAAAGATATCACACTCAAAGATCAACAGAGATGGGGAAGCATTGCTTTAACCACCGTCTGGCCACATTGTTTTCCTACACGGGTTTTCTTCCTTGCTTCTGTAATGTGAGTTTGTAGAACTGGAAAGCAAAGCGCGGCCTTGTGTCTGAGTCAGTGCTGTCTCTGTTGTCGTGGATGTGGAGGGTTCAGCTTGGTGGCGATGAAATTCTAACCACGTTCATACTGTGTTTATTTGGTGTATGTCTAGCATGTCTCTGTCTGTGGTGGTATTGTAGCTTGGCTGCTGTAGACTATAGTTAATATAGCTCTGTTTGAGTGGGAGTTTTCAGTAAGGGTGAGAATTATTTACCCACATCTGAAGCCAGGTGTCCAAAACAGTAAGAAATGAACACTTTGTCCCTGGTGTTCACATGAATAAAAACAGCAACTGTGGGTTAAATCCACAGGAAAATTCACTGGACATCAAATATATTAATCTCTAGCAGCTCTTGCAGCAATTTGACCATGAAGGCCTGATTCACGCAGTCTCCTCTGAACAGTTGATGTTGAGATGTGTCTGCTGCTTGAACTCTGCAAAGCATTAATGTGGGCTCTAATCTGAGGTGCTGTTAATTTGCAGTTTCTGAGGCTGGTAACTAAGGAACTTACCCTCAGCAGCAGAGGTAACTCTTGGTCTTCCTGTCCTGGGGCGGTCCTCATGAGAGCCAGTTTCATCATAGCGTTTGATGGTTTTCGTGACTGCACTTGAGGATACATTCAAAGTTCTTGAAATATTCCAGATTGACTGACCTTCCTGTCTTAAAGTAATGATGGACTGTCGTTTCTCTTGACTTAGTTGAGTGGTTCTTGCCGTAATATGGATTAGAACTGCAGTCGAACAGGCATATTCACTGTATAGAACTGTGCACCAACCCTGCCTCTGCACAACACAACCGATGGTCTCAAACACATTAAGAAGGCAAGAAATTCCACAAATTAACTCTTGACAAGGAACACCTGTTAACTGAAAACCATTCCAGGTGACGACCTCATGAAGCTGATTGAAAGAATGCCAAGAGTGTGCAAAGCTGTCGTCAAAGTAAAAGGTGGCTATGAAGAATCTAAAATATAAAACACATTCTGGTTTGTTTTACACTTTTTTGTTTACCACATAATTCCACATTTGTTCTTTCATAGATCTGATGTCTTCAATATTAATCTGCAATGTAGACAAAAATAAAAATAAAGAAAAACCATTGAATGAGAAGGTGTGTCCAAACTTTTGACTGGTACTGTATATATTCTGCATGTGGAAATGCAAAATCTGTAGAGGAGGGACATGATGTTCGTTTAGTTTGACCAATGAATTGCATTCATATTCAGATAACTGTTTATAGAGATGAGCCAAAATGCTGTCTGACCCTAAACCATCCACAATAATATTTGTGTTGTTTGTGGACAAACATTTGACTCCTGTGACAAAAGAAACTAGTCGGAACTGTATATGGCAAACAGATGATTGTGCCCAGATATCTGCTGTCTGCTCCAGAAGCTCTGGAATATTGTCTGTTGCTGAGACTAATGGAGCGTGAGACAGAAGCTGATGGACTCCGAGGTTGGAAACATCTTGACTTAGTTGCTCATTCAAAGGGAAATATATGATCCCCCCACAGATAAAAGTCTCTGTGATTAACTAGGATGGCACCCAGTAGAACACGTACCTCCACCAATGCATAAAAGCCCCCTGAACTCAACTGACAAATTTCATACACTCATAGTATCAGTTCCCCTAAATGTGCCACTTTTTTTCATCAAGATCTTTGAATTATTCCCCTGAGAAAATGGGGACAATGCCGTGCAAAAAATCCAGGATCTGCCCCCCGATCTGGATCCTCTCCAAAATTCTTGCCTGACCATATCGCTTACCATACCAAGTTTCATCATAGTTCATCCATTGTTTTTGTGTAATCTTGCTTACAAACCAACCAACAAATGGACTGAGGTTAAGGGGAAAAAATAACTTATTTGGTGGACCTTATCAGTGAAGTCAGAACCTGAGAGAGCGCGAGAGAGAGAGAGAGAGGCTGAATAATGTGAAAGCCTGTTTTTGCCTGTATCATAAATGTTGTTTTGGTAACAGTATATGACATTTTGTGCTTCCTCTCCATCAACTGAGTCTCTGCGTCTCCTTCCTTCAACATCTCCTTTGGTCTTTATGGTCTGTTTATTTTCAAGATCAATGAGCGGCTCAGTAACGCTTGGCTGGTCTGCTCCCACAAACCTGAGCACTCAAGTTCACGTGTCGGTGTGGATGTACATTCATCTAAATGTGAGACGTGAGAGGAAAATTAAAAGAGAGACAAAAGGACGAGGTAGTAATGGAAAGTACTTTACGTGAGGAGACACAGGAACATCAGAGAGGAGGGAGATTAAGTCTGATTGATGATTGTGTATTGATACAACACAGATATTAATTTACTGCTTTAAAGGTCGTTATAAGTGGGCAGAGGAGAAGGAGGTTTCAGGATCTGTTTCTGTGTAATGATCTGGCTGTGGAGTCACAGATAAACACACAGAAACAGACACACACACTCACACACGTTTATATAAATACACACTCCATACTTCTTTCTGTTCTCCGGGCTTCGTTCCTACTGCTACTCTTCACTCACACATTGAGCTGTTCTTGTGCTTGACAGGGAGCAGAGGGGCTGTCATCAGGTCCAGAGCTTGTCAAGAAGCAGGCTGTGCTACCACGCTACACACACACACACACACACACACACACACACACACACACACACACACACACACAGTGATATAAACACGTGCATACGCAGTTGAGTCGTGTCAGCAAGGCTTCTATGACAAAATGCATACAGACACGCCTGCATAGTGGGTCTAGATACACACACATTTAACAGCATGACCCTTACGACTGAATACACAAACACACACGTACGCACACATGGAGACAAATACACAAACAGAGCTGCAGGAAAGGTCTGAGTGGCAATTTTCTGCCTCTTCAGCTGATCCTGAACATGTGTCGAGGGTTTTACTGTAATCGACTGTAAGAGACTGAGAAAAGAAAATACACCAACTTCTCCACCTCTTTCATTTCTACATTTATTTATGGTCGTGCCCAGAGCGCTCCTTGGGCTCCCCAACGTGTGTGTTGTGCTGCCATGTGTGTGTATGTTTGTGTGTAACCCTGGTAATAACTAATCCAGTGCATCAGGCAGATAATACTTAAATATCGCCTTTGATTGTTTCTTTATCTAATGGAGCGTAGATAAATGTGCTTAGCTTTGGGAAACCAGGCTGAGCAAATAGCTCAGGTCCTTGTGGTTTGAGTGTAAATGAAAAACATCATGATGACAGCCTCCAATCTCCACCTCTCCGCCTCATAGAAGAGGAATTACAGCCCAAACTGAGCTCTGATGCTCAGGTCCATGTAGACGGAGGACTGCAAAGGCAAAATGCCTCACCAGGGACGCCACTGACACAGAAGGAGCAATCCAGACTGTGTTAGTACATGTATATCCTGCAAGCGTTTACCATTACACTGTACATAAAGTTATAGCTAGTTAATGTTGACAGAGAAAGTGGACATGATTCTGTTATTAACCTCCACATCAGCATTTTTTGTCAATGCGATTAGAAAAAACTACTGGACAGATTATCATAAAACTTCTTTAATATTATTTTCTAACATCTGTCTCAGTGCATAATTCATGGACAGTGAGAAATTCAGATCCAAATAAAAATCTGGATTTCGTGATTCTAAATGAGGAGGCTGTGGTGGAGGTATGAAGTCTACTGTCATAGCAACAGTTTTTCTTCATCAGCTCTGTGTAATATCAAGTTTTATTTATGAAGCACATTTAAAACAATAATTGTTGACCAAAGTGCTGTACAACATCAAGAATAGTATGAGCCAATAAAATAACAATAGAATGAGAGAAGATACAAACATAGATCATCATAGAATAGTAAGAATGAATCCACAATTCAAACCCTTTGGAATACAAATAGACTAAACAGGTTAAAACAAGTAAGTAGTATTAAACTGTTAAAATATATCTCCAGGACTTATTTGTCAAGAAAAGGTCTGTTTAAATTCATTTATATTCTCCACAAGAAATTCAAACTTTTCTGTGAGAACATGCTAATACTTTCTATATAGCACAGAACACATACAGCTGAGAACATGAGTATCTGTACAGTAATGGTTGAGCACTCCATCCAATAGTTTTTGAAATATTTACAAATATGAACCTCTTGGTGGTGATGAGAAGAAATATCCACTATTGTTGAAATATATTTTTTGACTAAAGAACTGAAACAACCAATCAATGTTCCCACCCCTAGACCAATAAAAACACAGTTCTTTCAATTTAATATGTATTTTTTATTTTAACTGCATTCACATTGGACATGATGCTTCATTTATTTTGCAGTATATTAACTCTGAAAGCCTCCAGAGTTTTCCAGCCACTAATAATCTGGACACATCCACATTTATTAAATGCTCAACTTTTAAGTTTCTTCACAAAACATAAAATAAATCAGTTATTCTATTTCCCAGCCATCATATGTGGAATTAATTTATGAGAACTGAATAGTAAAGTATGTTAAAGCTCTTTCACTCAGCTGTGAAAGAGCTTTAATATGCTCAGGACCTTCATCCTCTACCTTTACAGACATCATTTCAGCGGTGACCATGCTGACCGCTGCGGCTGCACGGAGGCCTGACGAGAGCGGCCTGGTCCAACTGGCGAGGGTTAAAGCATACATTACACTCCGGGGAGTTCAGAACTCTGTAGCCCGCTCACTGAGACAGTCGGTTGATTTATGAGCCCGAGCTGCCCGGCGCAGTCTACTGGGTCGAGGCACGCCACCATGATTAAAAGTCACATCCGAGCCAATGCACTGGCCGCTCACTCAACGCGCTGCACACGCCCAGAGATGACTACGTTGTGTTTTGATATTGGGAGACTCTCAAGCGAAGTTGACAGAGTAGCATTTACAAAGTAATTTGAGCGCACAGAATACAGAGTCTACTGTTCTTGTGAAGTGGTGTTTGGATTTTTGTCCCTCGTAAGTCTCACCCTCCATTGCTGCCAGTTTATCTTTGCCTCCCCTCATCCATACACCATCCCATCCCTGTTCACAAGTAACTAGATATGGTGAAAGTGCTAAGACATTTTCCAGCCGTTCAAAATCAAATGATGCAGACAGACCACTTACAGACATACCTTTTTATGCTACACTGAAAATGGTAGCAGAATGGTCTGTTTATTTATACGGCATCTTGCAGAGACAGAAGTCACAAAATGCTTCACAATTAAATTGATAAAATTAAAAAGAGGGGTAAACAAGTGGAGCAGATATAAAACATATAGAAATTGTTACATATGAACTAAATGCCACTCTGAACATTGGTCTTAGAAAATTTTTTAAAGAGTCTACCAAGTCCAACAACCTCAAGCTTATTGAGAGACTGTTCCAAAGCTTATAGAGGCTACCGACTGGAAAACATAATCCCCCCTGAGTCTTAAAACATGTCCGAGATACATCCCACTTAAAAAGTCCTGGGTAGAGCCATACATTGATAATGTCTCAGAGGATGGCAAAATGGGAAATGGCATGCTGTCAACCATGTGGTTCAATTTTGCCGACTGAGAGAAAGAGGGAGATAACAATATGGGTGACGCACGCTTCAGCAAACCACTCATACTGCAAATAGACAGATCCAAAACCAAATATTTTGCAACACCAGCAACCAGAATGAGTCTCTGTTGTTTAGTCAGCAGTTAGAACCTCTCGACTTCGTCCAAAAGATATTGAAACTGCAGTAAAATTACCAGTCACAGCCTTGCTCCAACATTTTTTGACTTAAGCTCAGTACCAGACCGTTTTTTTATCCCATGAACACGGCACA